AGCTCTGGTTATTAACCCCTGCTAAAAGTCTCTTTTTAAGCCGGCTCCCTGGTCACTTTCTAGTCATAGCAATACCTATGTGTAGTTTCATAATCTGCAAGGAACAACTTTTCATAATGAAAACATATAGAACTACAGTCATTTAAAGTCATTTTGTTTATTACATCTTTTTTTTTCTTTTGCAAAGCATTGAATAACTCTTTTGCCAACCATTTGAGTAAACAAAGTTTTACGAGAATCAAGGTTTAATAAAACTCTGATATTACTCATTCAAGTGTTATTCTTTTTAACTCTTAGTTTTAAGATGTTGATCTGTTTTAGACATATTGGTTATATAACAAATTCAAAATGACCGATTTTGATTTCCAAAATCCTATTTTAATAGAAAGTTTAAGTTCAGATATTTCAGATGCTACAAAACATCCCAAAATTATTTTTTTCTGTATTTCTTCTAGTTTTTAAGATTCCTAAAAATTTCAAGTGTTAAATTTACTGAACACCTAGAATTTCCAGTTCATAAATAGACCTCATTTTAACATTTTAAGGCTGGAGGCTTTTTTAGAGGAATCTATCTTCTATAATTTTGAATCCAATATTACAAAGCTTATCATGAATAATTACTACCACCTATATTCTTACAAAATAACATAATTTTCACATTTGCTTTGTTAATATTAAAAATTTTTCTTTACAGTTTTTTTTTTTATAACTTTGAAGTCCAAGACGGGCTAGTATAAAAACTTGAGAAAAAAATTTTTTTCTCTCAAGTTGAGGTATATTATTGCCATTAGATTGATTTTTAAGTATTTAAGATAATTAGTTTTTATTTATATGGGCTTGAAAATGAGACTTTTCTGAAAAAAACAATAGGCTAAGACATAAATTTTTCTAATTTCCAAAATTTTATAATGCTTAAAGGTAATGAAAATTTTAGAGAAATTTCTTTTTTCCATAAAACCTATAAGTAGTGTATATTTCAAAAAAATCTGAGATAATAACCCAGGACGGTTTTGCTCATTTATACGGAATGACTGTGTAGAAGTAGCTAATGTAGAAATAATTACTTCAGTAATTAATAAGTTGATTCTACCACCTGCATATATGGTAAAATCATAATATGGATAGTTTTTAAGAATATAATTAAAGTTAATTGATAATTTTTATCACTCGACAGTTTATCTCCTTAAACAGTAAATTGTGTTGAAAAGTATTTTTATAATGTTAAATAACTGAACCATAAATAATTTGATGAATAAATAAAATGACAAACTATTGTTAAAAAAAAACGTAGCATTTTTGAAGCCAGTTTGTTTATAAAATTTTAATGTTCCTTAAATGAAAATTGTTATTGCTTGTAATAGAAGATTGTTTAGAACTATACATTGTTTTTTACTTTTGTGAGTTTTGAGTTCTTTTGTTTACAAAAATTATTTTTTTTAGAAAATTTGAACTTGAAGATATATTTTTAGATTAAAGATATATTTTTCAGATATATAAACAAATACTATAATAGTAACTTCATTTTATAAGATATATGGTTTAAAGCAAAAATTTAAGTTATGGGCTTTTGTGCCAGCAAACTCGGTCCCGGCAAAATTATAAGATTTAGCAAAGGTTGATAGCTGGGGCTAGAAAAAAAAAATTATAGGACTTAATAAATTATAATTTTATGATTACGTTTTATGTACGTAATTTCGTTTTATGTATGTAATACTGGCATACGTTTATATATTTTTAAACTCAGTTAATTTCCAACAAGATAGCAAACAACCACTATTAAGTTAAAAGTTTCTTTAAAATACAGAAAACATGTAACTGAAGACTTAAAAAGTTGTAGGTTGTATAAAAAAGGAAAACATGAAGATGAGTAAGAGTTATAAGGTTTTTTTGATGTTCAAGGAAAAAAACTGGATTAATAAAACTTTTTTAGCAGGACAGATACAGTAAAAGGATGCTACTTGTTGAATACAAAGCCAAACAAGAATGAGTTTTGGTTTATTGTTATAGAGATGATAGCTTGTTTGAGCATTAATCATAATTTTATTTGTAGAAAAAAGAAAGAAATTTTTTCTTTCAACCTTTCAACAATGGAGAGTGGCTCAAGCTTGGCAGAAAAAGTCTTTTTTTTGTCTAACAAAAATTGTGGAAGTCTAGAATTTAAATCCATAAGCCACTGGTAGCCTTAGGCTGCTACAGAAGAGAGATCAGGTTTAAAATTGACTGTTTGTTCTAAGCAACCAAAAAGTTCAGATTATTTCTCAGGACAAGAGTATCAATTTGAGTCGTCAGCAAATAGAACCATTTTAGATTTCATGAAAATTGTTATTGTAGATAAGAAACAATATAGGAGCAAAGATAGAACATTGTGGTGTCGGTAAAGCTATTTGAAATAAAGAAGAGGGTCTTCAAGAATAACTTTACTTATGCAGTTAGAAAGAAATAATTTAATAACCTCAAAACCTTTATATAAAGAAACTAATAACAGAATAAAGACTCGTATGTAGTAAGAGAGTATTGTAGGTAGTAAGAGAGGTCAAAGTGTTTTCTAGAGTTTTGAAAAATTGGAACCACTTTAAAAAATTTAGCACCCAAAAAAATTTGGCAAAATTTGAAGAGATTTCTGAAGAACGTTTTTAAAAATATGATGGTAATCTATTCTGGAGCACACACTGTAGAAATATTTAATTGAGTATTAACTTTAGCATTAAAAGCCAGAGGGATTTGGATGTTTAACAATGGATTAATCTGTTTAACTTTCAGAAAGAGTATAATTAAACTTACATTAGTTAATGACATTGTTAGAGACTAACCAAACGTCTCTGGAACCTAACATCTGAGATAAGATACAAGGTTTAGTAAAACTGAGAATAACAGTGCTTAACATTAAAGATGTTTTTGTAAAAAAGATTTAAAAAAAGATTTATGTTTAATAAAGCAACTGCTCAAGATGGTGAAAAATGTGGAGTAGAATAAGGCTTGACTTAAAAATGAAGAGAAGTAATAAAAGCTTCCAAACTTTTAATCCAGAAGGAATAAAAGCTTCCAAGATGCACTTTATGCATATATATTATGGATATAAACATATATGTTTATATAGTATTTATATAGTATAGTATTTGCCGAAAGAGATGATGATCAGATAGATGCGTGGTATGACTTTAGCTAGACAAGAAATATAATTCAGACCAATATAAATTATTTCAATATATAATTTTCCAATTATACTAATTCAGTTGCTGTTGTTGGTTTAAGTTTAAATTTAATAGTTTAATTTATATTTTTGTTGTTGGTTTAATGTTAAATGTCAATGGCATGAAACCTGTTCAGACCCTTCTCTTCTTATAATTTATAGTGGTTAAAGGTTTATCTATAAATTACATTACGCTCTGGCTTTTTGTTCACTTGTTTGGGACTTATTACAAAGAAAAAGCAAGGAAAGAGGGAGTCAAAGTTAAAAATTTCATGTGTAATTTATGGACATTGCATTACATAATTTATACCCCTAGTATAAATTATGCAATTTGTATTAGTAGTGATTATATATACCTCTAATTATATGCAGTGGTTAATATAAATTTATTATAAAAATTGCTTTAGCTTAGGCAAGTATAATGCGTTACTAAAAAATTAGATTTGGCATAGAAGGTTAGTTTCTTGGTACAGGCTGTTTTGAGAATTTAAATACTCAGCTTATTAGAATTTTAATAAATATTTAAACACTAATAAGCTATTAGTATTTAAATATTAATAAAAACATGCATTAGTGTTAATGTTCTAACCAATTTACTTTGTTAAAAACGTTTATCAACTATAAAAAAAAAAACTACAAAAAAATCTTGTTCTTAAACATGTAACATAGGGTTTGCCACATGTTACATATTTTGATCTAGCAACATGAACATACTTTTACTGGAAAAAAATTTAAAACTTTTTAAAAACTTTTAGAAGATTATTTGACTTTACAAAGTCATATGATGGAGTTTACTTTCACAGAATCTATTAAAATCACAATGTTCTTGATGTTTATTTATAAGTTTAAAAATACCCTCAGATTTTTTACAGAGAATTCAGAAGCTAACTTTTTACAACAGGAATTTTTACTTCCAATGATCCAGATATTAACTTTTTTTTAATGCATTTATCAAAATGATAAAAGAAGAAGGTTTGGTTATTATTTTTATAAATAAAGTTATTGAAACCATGACACAGATATTTTTAGAGTTAAAGAGAACTGTTTTTAACTAGAAAGTCAAACGATTTAATATGTCAGAAGCAAACAACAAGTCAAATAATTGGATTTAATTTAAGGCCTGTATAAGTAATCCATTCACTACTTTGTAAATTTCATGCTTGATAGTAGTGCTTGCTAGAGTTTATTCATCTACAGAGTCTAAAACAGCCCTTGGTAACCAGTTCTTCATGGTAATGTATAGCATAGTATGGAAGTAGAACTTTCTGTATTAGCAAAATATCAAGTGTCTGTATAGTTTGTATATGGTTTTATATGTATTAGTCTGTATATGGTTTAGTATTACTAAATCGTAGGTTTTTTAGACATAATGAAATATTTAAAATAAAAGACATTTTTTTTTAAAGAAAACAAATTTTTCTAAACTTTTTTTTTTTTAATTTTTATTTAGACTTGAATCTCTAGATTATGATCAAAAAAACAAAATTTTTATATTCAATTTTGATTTTTTACATTTGATAATAATGATTATGATGATGATAATGATGATGATGATGATGATGATGATGATGATGATGATGATGCTGATGATAATGATGAAGATAATGATGATGATGATGATGATGATAATGATGAAGATAATGATGATGATGGTGATGATGATGATGATGATGATGATGATGATGATGATGATGATGATGATGATGATGATGATGATGATGATGATGATGATGATGATGATGATGATGATGATGATGATGATGATAAAGATAATGATGATTTGATGATTATAATGAGTTATTGTTTTTAGATATATCAGAGATATGCACAGCACTCAAAAGTTTATATCTTTCAAGTTATGTGAAAATAAATGAAGTTCAAGTACCACTAAAATCACCTGCAAATGTCAATTTAATGCATAAATTCGTTGATCTATGTATTGTTGATGCAGTCAATGCTCAAACAGATGCTGTATTAAGTGAACGAAAAGAATTTCTTCAAAAGCAATTGCGTTATACACCAATTCCATATAGTGAAATATTTACGAAAGATAAATCTGTAACAATAATATCTGGAATAGCTGGTATTGGGAAAACATGGTTGCTTAGAAAATGTTTGCTTGATTGGTCAAATGGTCTAATTTGGAAAAATGTTAAACTTGTGTTTTATTTGGAATGCAGAAGGCTTAATCAATATCAAAATATTTCTAATATTCATGAATTACTAAATGTTTTTTACAAAATTATTATAAATGATTTTGATATTAGTACTCATTCTACGCTGTTTATAATTGATGGATTAGATGAGTTTAAATATCTAAATGAGTTAATAAATTGCAGTTCGAGTTGTAACTATCCAATTGTTAATGTTTTAACAGAAATTCGAAAATATAAGTATGTAGTTGCTGGTAGAGTTTATGCAATTGATCAGTATCAAAGTATATCTACAGAGGATTGTGATAAGATAAACATTCAAATTATGGGATTTAATGAAGGCGGAATAAATAACTATATAGAAAATAATGTTTTAGAGGAAAAAAAAGATGTTGTGAAAGCAACTTTGAAGGAATCTGCAATTGCAAAATCAATGTCATCTGTTCCATTTTTTTTATCTTTCATGTGTAGGATTATTAGTAATTCAAAAAGTTTATACAAAAATTCTTTTTTAACAATGACAGACTTGTATGCAAATATTTTTTTACATTTTTTGCAAAAACACATTATCAAAAACAATGAATCGATTTTTCAATTTATGAAAAACAATTCCAATAAAGAATATATTTTAAATATTTGTAAAATTGCGTATCAATTGTTTGTTGAAAATAAAGTCATTTTTTCCAAAGAAGACATTCAAACTTTTATCATTGACTTTGATAAAAATGAAGAAACTTTTTTTGGATTTATTGAAAGGATTGAAACAAGTCTAGGTGAATATATTTATCAATTTGCACATTTGACAATAATGGAGTTTTGTGCATCTATATATGCATATAATTGTTTAAGTAGTGAAGAGATTATGACTAATGAAAAGCTGAAGAGTTGTTTATCAATGATTTGTGGTTTGACCAATAAAAATCTAAATAGTTCCTTAAAGTTTCTTGTTAACCTGAATCCTTTAAAACAAACTTGTGAAGATTCTTTATTTTTGTTTTCTATTTTTGGTAAGTCTATAATACTTTATTGCATTATTGTAAATTATTTTATATAAAATCTATTTATCAAAAGTGCAAGTTTATTAAAATCAAAAGTTTATAAACATTAAAGTTTTTTAAAGCTGTTTTTATCATTCCTTCTTTAAAGGATAGACTCTATTTTTTTGTATTTAGTATGTTTGACAATATTTGGCAAGATTTTAAGAGAAAATCAAAATAAATAATATTTTATAAGAAAATATAACAAATATACATATCAGTTTTGATTACAAGTAAATTCATCTGTGTCAGCCATTACACATCTTATACAGTAAGAGAGATAATTATCTGAACAGAATTAAAAAAAAAAAACAAGTAAACTTTGACAAGTAATTTCAGAAGAAAAATGAGTTAATATAAAAAATTAATGATTGTTATAAATTAATCATGTTTTTTTTAAATAAATGCAAATTTAATCAAAAATTCATAACTTAAAAGCTAAAGTAATTCATAACTTAAAAATTAAAATAATTACATTTATGTGCTAAAACCTCAATGATGCATTCAAATTATGCATTTTTTTAACTTTAAATAAGTGTGCAAACCAAATTATTAAATTTTTCTTTTTAATTATTAAACATTTCTCCAAGTAAATAAATTTTTTGACTTTTTAGTATTGAGTCAGACCATCTTTAGCGTTTAAGACTTCTGCAAGTCGATTTTGCCTTTGTTTAACTAATTTTTTTGCCGTATCTGGATTGATTTAAGTCCAAGCTATTAGGAGCACGATTATTTTCTCTTTGTTTTTTTTTGAAATTGCCACATTTTTGATCCAAAATTGCCCATTGGTGTTCAATTGCAATGAAATCTGAACTTTGAGTAGGCTAATCAAGGATAAAAAACACTTTTACTTTCTTTGACGTATGCTTAGTGTTGTTGTCTTGTCTATGCAAATTCAAACATTTTTTTACTTTTATTTTATATTCGGTCAAGTAAAACTGACACTTTTTATATCTTGAATTAAAAAAGATTGGAACAAGCTACAAAGTTGATTTTTTTTAATTGAATGCTTATTAAGTCTAGAACAAAAATATATATATAGAAAAAAAAATTTCAGTACAATAAATTTTTCTCATAATGGGAGTCATAAGATTTAGCACTAGGTGAGATCCATACTTTGTGACCAGAACTTATTTTTGCTTGCCTAAACTTCTTACATAATTTGGCTTTAATAATCGCCTAATATTGCCTAATTTGATGAAGTTCAGGATAATCACTTTTTAAGGTACTTTTTAATAATCACTTTTTAAGGCACTCTTTTATAAATTTCACTTTTTATTGTGCAATTAGTGACAAAACTTGGTGTTTTTAATCTACATTGACATCTCGCTTGCCAAATCATATTTTTTTAGAGAAGTTTTTTGAGTTTTAATAAATAAATATTAAAATTTAGCCTTTGCCTTTTTACTGGAAACTCCCATATAAAAATGATGTCATGAAATTGTTTTGAAATTTAATTTTACATAAGTTTTATCATACATGATTATACTTTTTTTTTCTAGACAATAATTTGTATATTTTTCATGCACGACTTTTTGCCACTAAATTTTCTTCAGCATTGTAATCTGGAATTTTTTACATCTTGAAGGACTTTATGCTTTTTCTTGATAGTCCAGACCATTTGTCTGCTAGTTTTGCATTTTAAAGCCAAATTTCACTCTGAAATGATAGGATTTGCCCATATTTTTGGCAAAACATTTATCTTTGGTTATTTATTAATGTTCAAATTGTTGCACCTTTCACACTTTTATTTATTGCCGTAAGTGTCAAATACTGATTTAAAGTTCACAGTACTTTTAGAACATTCAACAGTTTTTATAATCGATTTGAGAGGCTAATTAGGAAATTTTACTTGAGCATGCAAAATTGTATCACGCACTTGTTGCTGTTTTGTTGCCATTTTAAATAGTAATATAAAAAAATATAAAAATATTTTCTTAGTATGGAGTATAAAGGAAAGCATGAATTGAGCTTTTTCATATTTCATGAATAAACATTGCTTTTCATCATAACATGGAATAATTAACTTATTATTTCTTATGGTTGTTTAATTAAACACATTTAATTTAAATTATAATAGTGTATTATACATATTGTTTTTATTTATGTTATAGAATTTTTTTTATTATAAATTTAAATCTTTGAACATAATTTTCTTCAAAAATTTAATTTAGTTTTATAAACAATGTTGACTTTAAACAACAATTGTGTCTTTAAAAATCAATAAATTTTATGTTTTAGGCAAATGTCTCAGTAACTGATTTTTCATAAATCTTACAGTTTTTTCTACAAATATTGCTTCTCGCTAAAATGCTTTTCTAGGTTAGTTATGCTGAGTGCGCTGTCTGCAAACTTAATGAAGCTAATGATCTTGTTATCATCTCTGTAGCACCTAACATGGTTGGCAATGTCATATGACAAATCATTGATTTGAAATATATAGAGTTGTGAAGTAGAGTGCCAAGCCTTGTGGTACTCCAAATGACTTGCTAGTCAGATTAAAAAAGTGACATGATTTGATTTGCTTCTAAGCCTAATGGCTACAATCAAGTGAAGTATCTGCTTTTATTTGAGTTCTTACATCATTTTGATTGGTTATGATCTGCTGTAATATGGTATTTTGACTTCATTTCAGTTAGTCACATCTAAAGACTGTGAAAAAATGACTTCATTGAGCCTAAACTTTGATTTTATGACCTGATTTAACAAAAGAAAATTTGTATTTAGTGAGAAAATACAAAAAAAGTTTAATTTTTTCATTTGTTTTGTCTGATAATAAACAGCAATTACATATTAAATAGATAAATACAGTAAAAAATCATTTGAAATAAGCATCAGAAATAAATAGATTTCCTAGATTTGGTAGTTTACTAACCCCTCTGGAGGATTTAGAAACTCAACTTTAGAAAAGGATAATAAGTTTCTCAAAGTAGTCACCAAATGCATTTTTGATAATATACTTGGTACACTGTCCTTGATAATGACATCTAATCCTAACCCTAGCCCTAACTCTAATATATTTTGCTAAAAAGTCTTTCTATGATCATTTTCTATGATCTTCTTGATTTATGGTTTAACGAAGTTAAAAAAAGATTGTGTTTTAAATTGTATTTACCTATAATTATGATTATCACATATACCTTTACTCTTTTAGGGCATCATTTTCTATGATCTTCTTGATTTGTGGTTCAACCAAGTTACTAGCTCTGTAGCTTAGCCTCATCCTCTGAAAAAGTTTTTGATGAAACCTTAATTGCAGTGGTGGTAGTTTTTTCTTGGGTTTTATCAGCTGCTCCCACTAAACCTTGCTCTGTTTCTCAAAGAACTCAGTCACATAACCAATAAAAATCAATTAAATCTTTAATAAAATCTTAAACAAAAAAAAACCAATTAAATCTTTAATGACCTCTGTAGTTGTTATACATCAAGACAATAACTTCTTGAGATTAGTTTTATTCTCCTTGAGATGCACAGAATGAACCATCAGAATCGAAGTTGTTTGCATTGTAAAGCAACATGACTTTGAGTTTCTGGGATAAACTGTTTTCCACAGAGTTTATCTTGCTTTTATGATCTTTTTTTATCTTTTTTATCTTTTTTGTGGATATTAGCTCTAACCTCACACAGGTTCTGGTAAAGATTTTTAGGAATATGTGTATTGATTTTCAGTATTTGTAGTGTTTTCTGGAGTTTTATCTGCAGCTTCCACATTGCTCTTTCCCTCAGAGAACTCACTTTATTGTAACCCATTCTTACTTTGGTAGTGTGCCTTTGTGTCACTATTGTCCTAGAGGCTAAAGATATTAAATATTTGTTTGAGAGCCTTGAAGGTGTAATAGAATAATACCAATTTCATATTTTTGATGACCTCTAGTCATTATACATCAAGATTCTCATCAACATCTTGGTACTAGGCTACCAATTCTGTTGGCTCCTTCTATGCATAGAAGGAGCCAACAGAATTGGTTGCCAGCTGTTTTCATTCTGAAGCAACATGGCTTTGAGTCTCTAAAATAAACTGTCTATAAATAGGTGCTATTTACTTGGCATGTGATTCCATTAGCTTTAAAAAAATCAACCACAACATTACAGAAGCATTGGGTTTTCTGACTGAGCAAGTTGTAAAATTTTTGATTTGTTTTCTATGAGTTGTGACTTATTTTTATTTAACAAATTCCTCTGCCTAATCCGTGATATTATTAGTTCAGCTATGACTTTGTAAACTCTTGGTCACTCATTAAATCATTGTCTTTCTGACTAGGCAATTAGGCTTCTACTGAAAAACTTCACCTGTTAAACTATAACTTGTACCTCCAATATCCCCTTTGCTATTAGACTTGCTGTTTTCTATTGAAGATGGCTGATCCTTTTTAGGGAGAGAAGAACAGGCAGCTCAAGGCTGTATAGTCCTTGGGTATCAGATGAAGGAATATCTGAATAAACGATTGAGACACATTTTTTTCAAAGTAGAGGTTGTTTGAATGGTTCATTGATTGTCACCAAATTTTAAGGGTTTCAAACGTCATGACTATACCACCCGTAACATTGCATTTATAGTTATATAAATTTGAAATAATCACTACAATATTTTTTATAGTGCACCAATATATATGAAAACTTTGTCACTTATATATCTAAATCAAAGAAATTTGACAAAATAAAGCACATCTAAACAAGAAGTTGTTCATCTTGTTTTCAAGAGTTCTCTTGCATTATTATGTAAAATGCATTGCCCAGTATTGATCTTATTCCATACCGACATGCTGAAGCGCACCTTGCAAACCTTACACATTATGAATTGTTTTTACAAAATACTTTTTTGATCATGATTTTATAATGCAAACAACTTTTATTTAATTTTATTCAACTTTGATAAATTCCTATTCAAATTTATTTCTTTATTCACTGATAAAATGAACTAGAATGTTGGTAAGAGTCATTTAATTACTGTTCAAATAATGTTATGTTAT